GTTTGGAATCAGAATTTTTGGCCAACTCCCTTAGGTGAACTATCAGTGATATACCAATCCTGTTATAGCCCCGGATGTAGGCTTTTCGTCCTCTCACTTTAGTAGGGAACAGCTACACCAATAGAAGGCAGTGAGCAGGGCTTCCTCAGCAGAGGCTATTTGGGACGCTTGGTCATGTGGGAGCATTTCGCTAGGTGCAAGGGAAGAGTGACCAGCCGCAACCATAGACATTCACCCCCTACCATACTGAGGCTTTGGATAAAGAAAAACGCCTCATCCGCCAAACGCAACAGGACAATGGTATTCCGGAAAAGTCTATTGACAGGAATATTCGGCTCCGTCCTGGAAAAGGAAAGCCTATCTGTCACCAAGATAGGGCTAATTATAAGGATTCCGTTTAAGGGGGAATCACAAAGAAAATTTAGTACAGTCGGTGAGACCGGCTGCATATTCCACTTTCTACGCAGTGAAACTTAGAGCGGTGTTCTCCTTATCACGGGTGGAACTAAAAATGCCGAAACTGACCTGGTTCGTTTTGATTTATTCTTTTTGAGTGTGTATGTGGTGCATGTTAATTTCGAGAGGTGACTCATGTTTAGGTGACATCCCATTAACTGCCAATACGTGCATTCAACCAATGGATTCGCGTCGCAAACGAAGTTAAATGCTTTTTATGTCTCATCTCCCAAGCATGACCAAACAACTATCCAAAATAACCTGGCAATACCTTCATATCGATCTTGCTCTGTTATAAGGATTTGGGTAATTCGAAAGATTTGAGATGGGACTTGGGGAGGGGTGGGGTGAGCCCAATTTATCTATTTTCGGGTGAGGTTGATTGTGATCGGAGTGTTCGTGGTGATGGTGATGATTGATTTAGGACCAGGATAACTGGCCAGCTCAAAATAGTCACTTTTGTACGCATAGTTCTGGTGCGAGAAGGTGCATATCTATCACCTCGGCAGTAGCTAGTGGTTAGAAGGTTGGAGGTACATGATAGACTTCACTGAACGCGGATTCTGGTTTAATTTGATGGCCTACATCCACTATACCTTTTTCAATTTGAGATGTCCGAATATCAACTTATGATGTCACAGCATCAATGTAAGATGTCACCATATCAATTCAAGATGTAATGTTGCTATGTAGACAGTACCTTGCACAGTACAGGGTAAAAATGTGACCTCAGTCATGTTGTGCTGACGCAACATGACGACTGATATCATATACTACGGAAAAGGGGAGAGCACCAGGTCCCTTGTTGTGGCTGAACTATCGACCAATCGATAAATCAACCCAATCGGTAGTTCGATTGTCGGGCCGGCATAGAAGGATGATAAGTTCTGAATACGACGCTGCTTAAGTGTTGGTAGAAAATCATCACAGGAGAATCAGTTGTGGAAATTCGGAATGGAAAATGCTCAAGCGATGATGACACCGGGTCAACGCTTGACTCGTCTAAGATACACGAACTATTTTTCTAAGCGGGTTCGGTAAACGGATAAGCATGATAAAACTTTGAATTTGTCTTAAGTATGGACCACAATATGCACTAATATAGGCTAACACAAAACTCTTCTTGGCATTCCCCCAACTGGGTTTTTCGCATTAAACAATCTTGCCAACTACTTCGGAGATCAAATTATGTAGGAAAGAAAAAAAGTTATTGAAAAATTTATATGTTTTATAAGTTGATCAATATATTTTCCAACCTGCTGCTTGCACAGCAAAATACGGCTAAAATAGTTTTCTGCTATCTTCAGAATAGTAGCAGTTGAAATGCTTTCGTACTGCACGACGATACGGTATTTTAGCTCCTCGATCGTTCTCGGTTTTCGGGAATAAACGGTTTGCTTTCGATATGCCCATGGAAGGAAATTCGAGGGAGACAGATCAGGTGACCTTAGAGGTCATTCCTTAGGTCTTCCCCGGGCAAACCGTCTACAGTCAAATCCCAAATAGAGGAAATTTTTCACCACCAGAGCAGTGTGACAGTGTATCGTCATTGTTGCAATCAAGGTGTGGTGCCAACTTCAGTTGCAGTGTTCCTAGATAAGCGGTCAAATATTACTGGCAATTTTAATCACTTCTTATCCACCCTCGGTATGTCGGCACTCCATCAGACAGATGACTGATGCTTTTGGAGCGGGTGGTTAATGCGACGCACTTCTAAAGAACCTGGCCCAAGGTGTCGCTACTAACAACAGGAAATCAACTCGTTCACCCTAGTTGGTAACAGTACGACCGTTGGTCTTCCCGCACTTGTTGGGACAATGATCCCCACAATAATTACGAAACTACAACCAAAAACGAAGAGGAAGAATGTTTAGCATAATGGAAATAATCATAAATCTTCCAGCTGGATAACTTCCAGGTGAAAATCAGTGACGTGTCGCACGGGAATTTTGCAATACACTGTTGTCACGAGTTCCTCCGCTCCACGACAGACTTCTTCCAGGCATTGCATTGACACCAAGCCAGAAGGGTCACCCGTAAGTAATACACTGTACTGCTCACTCTCTCTCTGTTTGTTCACACTCCATGCGCCTTCAGTTGGGTTCCGCGCAGGGCGAAAGCGGACCAAAGTCCATTCTGGAAATTTCCGATGACCTTTTCAACGTGCAATTTGTCACGCCATGTTGCATCATCACAACATGACTGAGGTCATATTTTCACGCTGTACCGTGCAAGGTACTGTCCACATAGCAACATGACATCTCAAATTGATATCGGACATCTTAAATTGAAAAAGCTACAGATGACCAAGAATGACAGTTCCTATTCTCCCAGTGTCTCTTTGTCTTAACCAGTGTGGACAGTGTTTCTTCATCCGTTTGAATAGTTGTCTCGCGGTGCGGCCAATATACGTTGCATTACAAGGCAACGGGAGTAGTAGTTAACTATAGAAGTGTCCAGTATGGACAGCCTATCTTTGTGGCTGGTTCGAATGAAAGGCGAGCCTGAGAACACAAAATATTAACGAGCTGCGTTGTAGGTTCGCTTCACAGCACGCGTCAGACGTTTATTTAAGAGGTCGGATTTCCAATCCCCTTAAAAAGGTAGACGGATGAATAATTTCTTCTTCTGAGCCTCATGGACCTGTTCGAACAATGGTCTTTCCTAGAAGTTGTCCTCAGTGAACCCTTCAGGATAATCATTTTCCCTAAGAACGTCTTTATTTTTTGTTACCCTTTCATCGAATACATTATCAGAGCAGATCTTGTTGCTCGTGATGTGAGACTATGCATCAGATTTCTTTTCTGTCTGCGTGGGACGAAGCTTTAAAGGTTTGTATATTGTCCCATCCAAATTAGTTTTCTATGCATTTAATGTTTTAAGGAACCATCATCTTTTCGGAGGATTGTAATATCTGAGAAGGCTAATTTGTCGTTTTCTTCTGTTTCCAACGTGAACCGAATCGATGTGTGAGCTTCTTTGAATATTCGGGGCACTCTTGTCGTGTTCATACTTTTCGGTCTAAGACAGAATATGTCGTCCACGTAGTTTCAGTACAGACTCATTTGCTCTATTTCCTGATTCAACGTTGTATTGTCTAATGTGGCCATAAATATATCCGCTGATAGTGGGCCTAATGGGGAATACATGACCACCCCTTCTAGTTAACGAAAACTTTTTCCTTCAAATAGAAATTGAACATTGAATGTATATCCTAGTAGTATCATTTTCAGATTTTTCGTTGGTATTCCTGCCCGAACTAGTTCAGAGTCAATGTAGCAACAGAGAAAATCGATCGTTTCCAAGAGTGGTACTTTAGTGAGCAAGGAAATCCAAGAACACTTCATCAGTCTTTTCGTTTCGTTCGCTGATGATATTTCTAAACTCAAATGTGTCTCGAAAGCTGTATTTAGTAAGCTTTATGCGTACTGGTACGAGCCACTCGGCAATCTGATGACATGGATATAATTGGTCCAAGTGGTAAGCAAGTCATTTGAACCTTGAGTAACCCGTGAAGGCGTGGAATGGTCGAACACTGAGTGGTCTATGAAGTCTTGGTCCTTTAATGATTTGAGACCATTCACAATTTTTTCTCTATATGGCCCGTTTTTCTCTTTGTTCTCAGGCCCATTATCAAATTTGTTCTTATGGAACAGTAGCCCTGAGATCTTCTTGATGTAATTGCACCTCTTCATCGGAACAACTTCTGATCCTTTATTTGGTCTGCTTATTGCAATAACTTTGCGTTGCTGAGTCTCTTTAAACGCCTCCAGTTGTTTCCGTATTATTGTTCCTCGGGTGGTGGGTATGTACCTGCGGTATTGGTAACAACAGTCAACTAATGCGGCTTTGAAACTCTCTAGTTCATCTGAGGAGTAGTTATGTCACATCCCTGGAGGCTAATGCTGAGGTGAGCGAGCACCGATACTCGCAACCATGTCGCTTAGACGGGTTGTGCTACATCGTATGAATTTAAAATGAGGAACGGTCTGATCAGCTGCCCGGTGGTCGAGTGGGTAGTATGCTTGCGTTTTATATCTGATATGAGCTGTGCATGAACGATCATGAAAATGATAGCTCGCTATTGGACCTGTGTTCTAGTGTTACAGTGGGGTTATTCTGGGATTTGGATAAGGTAGATAGTGTAACGGTGAAATCAGTTATCAGGGTAACAATTCTATCGTCGAGAAAAATTTGGTAAGGACTAATGGCAATATTGTATCCAAAACTGAACAACAGAAAAACTGAGTGCGTTAGTTTGAGGCAGAAAAAGACCAGTTGAAAATTTCCATTTGGTCGACCAATGAAGGTATGAATGGAAAATACAAGGTTTACAATAGAATAACAAAAGAAATTAGCACTTTTATGGTTTTGATTTACTTTTTCCCATTTCAGAACACTAAAATACCTGGATGGTAAAACTGTGGATAGTTTGGCAATACGAACCTTCTGAGACGATAAGCATTATGGATAATCATAAGCCCGCGGTTATCGAAGAAAACCAAGCATGTATCCTTTATGTGAAAAGAACCAATAGCTTACACTCACCTGTTGCTGTAAGTTTTGGAAGCTACATAAATNAAATTCGGATGTGTTCGTTTAGTTTCGTCAACCACTTGTCCGTATGTGTAACCTTGATCAATCAGTTCTAGGGCCCAACAATCATGGCAGTGTTGGGCGAATCGTTCAACCAAAGGATTCAACGAAGCGGGCAAACGAACCTAGATAACAATGGTAAGAACAGAGAAGTAGTTTGCACAAAAAGAATGTTGCACACACAAATTAGGCATTTGGAAGGTAGTAACATCAATAGTAACAAACCTGAGACGTCTCGATTGGCTGCGGAATAAAAACGTCGTGATGTGTACCCTCTTCGGGTTGTTCCATACCTCCGAAACCAGGACTGCCTGGAACCAACAGGCCATCTGTGAAAAAAATGAAAACATCATAACAATTCCGTCAGATTTGAATATAAAACAGAAGGTAAATCTAAGATTTTGAAGTTTCTAAAAGGTGAAACAAGAAAAATAATGAGCACAAAAATAACGTTCGATTTAATGAGGACCATAGTGAATTAGGTTTGTTCAGATGTGTGTAAAACAATATGACAGTGGATCACTCAATGGAGTCCGAATAACATTGAATCTCCTTCGAGGACCATCCACCACAAATTTCTAGTGTTGACACATTTTACATTTTACTGTTCAGAAAGAGAGTTTCCCCCTCCATTGTGAAATTCATTGCTTTTCCTTACAGACGGCTGACTATCCACCAGTTTCCCTATTAGCCATCGCATCCATGAAATCAATCGTTTATCAGTAGCGTAAGTTCCAACTTTTCTTCACGTTCTTTTGTAAAATTCTAAATTGAAAATACACAGTAAGAATACTCCGTCATGAAACGTACTCTCAAATATCTTAAACCATCATACTGACCACATCCCATACAACAAAAAGACCAGTTAAAATAATAATAATATCATTTATGATAAACGCACTTAGAGAAGATGCTTCATTTCTTAATAAAATGGGAAGACTCATAACTTATTAAATATTCCTATTAGACACAAGAAAAAATGGGCCATGCCCTTTTCATTTCCATAATAATAATAATACATTATGATAGTAAAGTTGGGTCCCATATCATTTTTGCTACTTGGATCACTCAAGTTTGCTCGAGCTCATTGCCTACCTGGTGAAAGAGAATGGATATCAGTCGATAATGCCGCGCTGTTCAGCTATCGTTTAAAACTACCGAGTTCAGTGTGGGAGGAAGAACAGGTTCTAATTGAGTGGTGTGAGTTAGTCATCTTACCGCTATAAAAGGTGATAAATTCTGTTGTGAAAAATACAGATGAACTAGCTTGATCAACATAGTCTCTGAAACTCTCACTAGCCTCATATTGACATTTACTGATATCAGAAGTCAATTTCGGGCTCGAGGCACGTTGGGCTCCAAATGCCTCAGTATTGTCGCGAGTCGGTGTCTCGGGCTGTGAAATGGCCATTCATCCCAAACTACTCTAGAAATGCTCCCAAACGACCAAGCACCGCAAATAGCTTCTGCTGAGGAATTACTACCCACTATCTTCTAGTGGCGGAGATGTTAACACCAAAATTGAAGGGCAAAGGCGAATGTCCTTCGCTTTCTATCGGACTGACTGACCATTTATAGTCAGTTTAAGGCAGTTGGCTGAACACTGATTCCCAACCACCCACAATTGACGTAAGAAGCTCATAGTGCCACCAATCCTCGGCGCAACCAAACCGGTTTCCAAATCTAACCTTTAAAGTTGACCACGATGATCCTCACAAATAAGCGTGCGGCTCAAAGACAATCTGAGCGTCCTGGAAAGTTGGCCACATGCGAAAGGCGTATGAACTGATCAGTCAGTGATCAGCTCCCAGAGGATAGTACACTTCTTAATCCACCCTACACACTTGCGGGTCAGATTCTTTATCCAAAGCCCCCAAGTAGAGTCTCCCAAGAAACCCTCTACGTCGGTCTGGGCAACCGTGGTAGCACGCCCGCAAATTAATCATGAGCTCACTGACTTATGAATTCAAACATTTCTGTAACACTCATACAAAACCCTTTCTTCTCAAAATCTACCCTCAACACTTTCACCCGTCTCCCACATACTAGCCTTTATTGTTCCAATGTATGTCCTATCCCAAAAGGTTCCAATGAAGTAGGCTCATGTCGTAACTCACCGCTATCCTCCTTGATATCTGCCTCGCTCGGAGCCGACCGTTTCATTCCTCCGACCTCAATCTGCGTTCAAAGGACTTCGTTCAACGTAAGAACTCTAATGTGTATAGGACAGTAAGTAGGTTTGGCTCGTACGCTCGAAAGTTGAGAGGTTGATGTGCGTTGCCTCTCGGAAACACGCATTTAGGAACCGAGTTCAGTGTTCCGATTGACATCCCGTTCCTCTCCAAAAAGCGTTTCAACAGTTCGTTTCCGGGGATCCTATCATATCAGCGTCTGGTCAAGCAGGCGTTGGTATTGCCTACAATCCCAGGGCCGAGGCTAACACATCTAACTGAATCCGATAGATAGCTGACTATGCGCAGTGTGACTCAGAGGCTCAAGTAAAGTAAAAAAAACAGAAACCAAGTGAACAGTGCTTATCCGTGGTTTCTGCATACACTATNGGATACAGCCAAAGATCTTTCTATTACAACCAACATGAGTTTCTTCTCAAAGCACCTAGGACAAATGTCGTCATTCTGGCCGGAGACCCAGACGCATGCGTTAGACCCATCTTGATGGTAATTATGGCCTTGCTGGCTGTCTTTCAGAAAATGGGGATAGAATTCTCAGCATATGCTTCGAATGTAGCCTGTTACTCGTTAGCATGGACTTCAGACACCCAAAGCATCACCTCGCCACTTGGCGTAATCCCTCTTCGGCACAGATTTGGACTCAGATTGACAATATACCTATTAACTACAGATGGAGGTGTGTGAAAGACTGCCGTTCGTATTGGTCTACCTGCTTGGACTCCGATCACGCAGTGGTTTGTGCCAAGGTGTCTATGCTATTTGGTGGCTGCAAAACAAGATGAGATGCAAAAAGCTTGATGTCGCCAGGCTTTCTAATCTGGCCGAGCTAGCCAACTACCAAAACGAGTTGGCCACAAGGCTAACTACTGTCCCACTAAGAAGTGTAGATCACCGCTGGACAACCATTCAAAGCGCAATGCACTCAGCTATTTTACACAATCTTAGCCTGACTCCTAGAGTAGTAAAACACTGGTTCTCCTCCAACTCCTTCAGACTTCTTGACGCACGTCGGACAATCCAGACAGATAACGAGCACAATGAGCAGCTCTTCCCTCTGAAGCATGAAGTCACAGAGTGTGAAAGACGACGGAGAAGCCTGGTGGGCGCTACATGAAAAGGAGAAGGAATCGGAAGCTAGGTATGGGAACACCCATCAACTGTTCAATCTGATGCTACGGGCCCCAAAAGACAGCGCGCTAATGAAACAGTGCGCAAAGTGGACGGCGCGTCAATATTAAGCTTTCACCGACTCTTGGGAGGCTAGACAGAGCACTTCACATTGCAGTTTTACCAGCCCCATTCGCTGGACGTCTCAAGTAGTTCCCTGAAAGGGTGTGTTTTGCGCAACGGTAAGTACCGTGTTGCTCCATGGCTGCGAAACCTGGCCTCTCCGAGCCGTCCATGTCCAACGACTATTCGTATTTGACAACCGTTGTCTGAGCAACAGTGTCCGCAGATGGTAGGAGCATCGCGTGAATAATGATGAGGTCAGAAGAGGTGTTAAGATTAGATAGTATTCTACTGAGCAAAACACTTTCATTGCTTCGTCTTAGGTGGTTGGGGCAAGTCCTACGAATAGCTGAGCAACGTCCGCCATACTGTGCACTATTCGAAGACATTGATTCAGACTGGAAGAAACAGCGAGGTGGGCAGGCTACGACGTGTCGTAAAGGGTCAAAGAGACTATGCTCGGATATGGCTTCTGTNTCTGTCCGGGCTTCACGGCTCCCCGGCTGGGGAGCCAAGGATTCAGATTATCTTTGGCTGGAGACAGCAGAATATGGCATCGAACCAAAGTCAATGGCGTGAATGCATTCTCTTCTGTGTGTGATCCCAAAAGCAAAACAAAAAAGTCAAAATGGCATGCAGAAAAGAAACAAAATATTGTTCTTCCCAAATTTGACAATTTTATTGTTTTCCTCCTTTCCGTTTGTATACTTTGCGTTAAACCTATGGTTTAATTCGGTACCGTATCTGTAAAGATTGTT